TTCTCTTTTTTTGCTGGATCTCTGTCTGGCTTGGGAATCAGAGTGATGCTGGCTTCATAAAATGAGCCCGGGAGTTTTCTTCGCTTTCTATTTTTTGGAATAGCTTGAGAAGAATTGGGATTAGTTCTGTTTTAAACGTCTGGTAGAATTCCCCAGGGAAGCCATCTGGTCCTGGACTCTTATTTGTTGGGAGATTTTTGATCACTGATTGGATTTCCTCACTAGTTACGGGTCTGTTCAGATTTCCTATCTCTTCCCGTGTGAATTTGGTAGTGAGTGTGTGTTTAGGAACTTGTCCATTTCTTCTAAGTTGTCCAGTTTGTTGGCATATACTTTTTCATAGTATTCCCTGATAATTGCCTGCATTTCTGAGGGGTTGGTTGTAAAAATTCCATTTTCATTCATGATTTTGTCTATTTGGGTGCTCTCTCTCTTCTTCTTGATAAGCCTGGCTAGAGGTTTGTCAATTTTGTTTATTTTTTCAAAAAAACAACTCTTGGTTTCATTGATCTGTTCAATCATTTCTTTGGTCTCTATGTTGTTTATTTCTGCTCTGATTTTTACTGTTTCTCTTCTTCTACTGGGTTTAGAGCATTCTTGTTGCTCTGCCTCTAGTTCCTTTAGGTGAGCTGTTAGGTTTTTGATTTGTGCTTTTTCTAGTTTCTTGAAATAGGACTGGAGTGCAATGTACTCTCCTCTTAGGACTGCTTTAGCCGCATCCCATAGATTTTGTATTGTTGTGTTTTCATTATCGTCTGTTTCCATATATTTTTTAATATCTTCCCTAATTGCCTGATTGGCCCATTCATTCTTTAGTGGGGTGGTTTAACCTCCATGTTTTGGGGGATTTTCCAGGCTTCTTTCTGTGATTGATTTCAAGTTTCAAAGCATTATGATCTGACAGTGTGCATGGTATGATCTCTATTCTTTTATATTTATTGAGGGCTGCTTTATGTCCCAGTATGTGATCTATCTTGGAGAATATGCCATGCGCACTTGAGAAGAAAGTGAATTCCCTGGCCTCAGGATGTAAAGTTCTAAATATATCTGTCAGATCGATCTGGTCCAGAGTGTCTTTCAAATCCATTATTTCTTTAGTGATTTTCTGTCTGGTTGACCTATCCATTGCTGTAAGTGGAGTATTGAAGTCCTCTGCTATTAGCACATTCTTATCTATGAGTCTGTTTCTCTTTGTGATTAATTGTTTTATATACTTAGGTGCTCCCATATTCGGTGCATAGACATTTATGATTGTTAGTTCTTCCTGATGGATAGACCCTGTAACTATTATGTAATGCCCTTCTTCATCTCTTGTTATTGTCTTTAATTTGAAGTCCAGTTTGTCTGATATAAGTATAGCTATTCCGGCTTTCTTTTGATTTCCTGTAGAATGACATATATTTCTCCATCCCCTTACTTTTAATCTGAAGGTATCTTCCAGTCTAAAATGAGTTTCTTGTAGACAGCATATAGATGGATTTTGTTTTTTTTATCCATTCTACTACCCTATGTCTTTTGATTGGGGCATTCAGCCTATTTTCATTCAGTGTTATTATTGAGATATGGAGATTTAGAGTCTTTGTGTCCTTTGTGGAGTTCATGCTTGTGGTGGTGTCTCTGGTATCTTTTTTCCTTGCAACATTTCCTTCAGAGCGTCCCCCTCAGGATTTCTTGTAGGGCTGGCTTAGTGGTGACAAGTTCTTTCAATTTCTGCTTATTTGGAAAGATTTTTATCTCTCCTTCTATTTTGAATGACAGGCGTGCTGGATAGAGGATTCTTGGCTGCGTATTTTTTCTGTTCATCACATTGAAGATCTCCTGCCATTCCTTTCTGGCCTGCCAAGTTTCAGTAGATAGGTCTGTCACCACTCTGATAGGTTTACCTTTGTATGTTAGGGCCCTTTTCTCCCTAGCTGCTTTCAGAATTCTCTCTTTGTCCTTATATTTTACCATTTTTACTATGATATGCCGTGCAGAAGATTGATTCAAATTATGTCTGAGGAGAGTCCTCTGAGCCTCTTGTATTTCAACGTTTACTTCCTTCCCCAGGTTGGGGAAGTTCTCTGCTATAATTTGTTCCAGGACTCCTTCAGCACCTTTCCCTCTCTCTTCCTCTTCTGGGATTCCTTTTTTTTTTTTTTAATGTTTTATTTATTTCTAGGAGAGAGAGAGAGACAGCATGAGCAGGGGAGGGTCAGAGAAAGAGGGAGTCACAGACTCTGAAACAGGCTCCAGGCTCTGAGCTGGCAGCCAGCACAGAGCCCGACGTGGGGCTCAAACCCACGTACCGCGAGATCATGACCTAAGCGAAAGCCGGACGCTTAACCGACTAAGCCATCCAGGTGCCCCTTGGGATTCCTATGATATGGACATTGTTGTGTTTGACCGTATTGCTGAGCTCTCGAACTCTTCTTTCATGTTCCTGGATCAATTTGTCTCTTTTTTTTCTCAGTTTCCTCTCTTTCTATAATGGTGTCTTCTAAATCACTTATTCTCCTTTCTGCGTCTTCAGTCTGTGCATAGGACACCTCTAATTTATTATGTATCTCATTTATCCCATTTTTTAATTCATCATGCCTATTTTTATTCTCCATGTCTGTAGCCATACTTTCTTTCATGTCCCCTATGCTTTTTTCAAGCCCAGCTATTAATTTTATGATTATTGTTCTAAAATCTTGTTCAGTCATATATGCTGCTTATATCTGTTTTGAGCAGCTCGTTAGCTGTCAATTCTTCTTGGAATTTCTTTGGAGGAGAGCTCTTTCGTTTTGTCATTTTAGTTAGCTTTCCGTCTCTTGTTAGTTTTAAAGACTTGTTATGCTCTCTGCACCTGTGAGTGCTGCTGTACCCAAGAAGGCTTTTTGACTGTCCAGGGCCTATCCTTTCAGAGAGTGTTTTTTGAATGGTATCTCTTGGTCTCTCTTGTTGAGACCTTGTTTATTTTATTTTCCTACTCATAGTGATATTTCAGACTCTCCACCTTGTGTACTTTGGCTTGTTTCTTGAGGTAGCCTCTCTTGATGGGGATCAGTCACCGCTAGGAGATGTGACGAGCCGCCTAACGCAGGAACCAACCCTGTAATACTAATATTAGATACAATGATTTACAAATGAGTATACTCTGAGTAAAATTTATGTAGTATAAATCCATCAGTTCTTCCCTTTAGAAATACAGCAAGAATGAACTTTGCCATTGACTTAAATAGTTGGCAAACACAGATTAAACAAATACATGATTTACCAAATGCTTAATTTTGTAATATAATCATCATTCTATTGACTCATGGCATCATATGTACTTTTACTTTAGCTTCCTTAAGAGGTTCTGAGCATTATGCATAATAAATTCTCAGTTTTGCAATTCCTGAATGTATAAGCCTAATGTTATGGTATTCTCTAGAGGTTAAACTTCACCAAGTGTTTGTTACCTTTTCTATTCTTTAAATGGTAAAATGGTACAGTACTAGGATGTTGACATAGAATTATATAATTTCACTTTTAAAAAAAGAAAATATTTTCTTTACTATATATACACACACATATATATTAGAATCAAGACAAATATCATAATACATCTACTGATAAAGAGATGGCTTTTTTGACCAGAGTAAAAATATCAAAACCACATGAGCATAGATAGAGCTACTTATAAGGATAAACTGAAAGATGCTAAAAGTCTGGTCTCACCCAAAACACCCTCCATCAACAGGCTGGCAAGTATGCCTAGATGACCACCATGTCTGCTCTATCTGAATTAAGAGATTTTGATATATAGGAGAGATAGTTCTATCTGAACAAGGTTTTAGTCATTTGCTTAAGCCAGGATCTTTCTATCCCAGTAGACTGCAAGTGCCTGAGGATATAGCCATGACCTTCATATGATTACTCCTTCTTGCCCCCATTACCTAGAACAGAATCTGAAACATAGTAGTGCTCCATATTAAATGTCTCAGTGAGTGAGTGAATAAATGACTGAGTAAATGCAATGCAGCAAAGAAACGAATTGCAAATTTTATGTATGAGGAATGAGGGGAAAGTTTGAGATGTGAAGCATTGACCACTCTTTAAAAATTAATTAATTTAGTTTTGAGAGAGAGAGAGGAAAGATCTGAAGTGGGCTCTGCAGTGAGAGCAGAGAGCCAGATGCGGGGCTCAAAACCACAAACCATGACATCATGACCTGAGCCCAAGTCGGGCACTTTACTGAGCCAGTTAGGCACCCCAGAACTGACCTCTTGACAGGTGTTTTAGTTTTGGTTCCTCAAGAAGCAGTTCTTGAGACAAGGACATGAGTGTAGGTAATAGTTTTGGAAATTGATCCCTGGAAACCCAGGTAGGAGATGGGAGGAAGAGAGCTAGGGAAGGGAGGGCAGCCAATAGAGCGAAAGAAAGGGTACCTGGAGTTTAATACTGCTGTGAAACTTTTTAGATTGAGAAGATAGGAATGGCAGAGAATACATAAAATTGATCCATATTAGATAGGAAAGAAAGAACTATAGAGTACAACATGTTGGAGAACTGCCACAAATTAGTGAGTCTAAAGAGCACAACAGGTTAGAGCAATGACTGGAGACCAGTTTGGAAATGAACAGGGAACAGTGGCAGAGGGTCTTGCATAAACTGCTAAGAAATTTGGATTTTATACTGCAAGCAATGGGAGCTTAGTGACGGACTTTTGTGAAGGCAGGAGACATGAACAGATGAGATATGCAAAGTAGTAATTTTTGGTGGAAAGTGGAGAATGGCAAAGAGAAAGGTGGCATAAGAAAAGAATGAAAGTAGGGGCGCCTGGGTGGCTTAGTCGGTTAAGCGTCCGACTTTCGCTTAGGTCATGATCTCGCGGTTCGTGGGTTCGAGCCCCGCGTCGGGCTCTGTGCTGACTGCCAGTTCAGAGCCTGGAGCCTGTTTCAGAGTCTGTGTCTCCCTTTCTCTCTGACCCTCCCCTGCTCATGCTGTCTCTCTCTCTCCTAGAAATAAATAAAAATATTTAGGAAAAAAAGAAAAAGAAAAGAAAAGAATGAAAGTTAAGAGATAAAGAGAAAAATTAGGAAACTATTACAGTGGGTCAAATCACAATGTAGGCTGAAACTAGGAAATGGGAATGGAGAAAGGAAAAGATTCCAGAACTTTCTGATGGGATATTGATAGGTTTTCTTGACTTGTATTAGAAGGATTCTTAGCAGTTTCCAAATATACACTGCTTCTATGGTTCTTGAAAAACACCAGGATGCCTAGGATTTCAGCAGAATTTGCCTCCAATATCTCATTCTTTCAGAATCCTACTAGGTGTTTGCTACTTAAAATATGGTCCATGGACCAGCAGCAGCAACACCATCTGGAAACTCATTAGGAGATATAGAATCATAAGCCCCACCTGTAACTTACTGAACAGAATCTTCATTTTAACATTTGATTCATTTGTTCTTTAAAATTTAAGAAGCACACTACCCTTATGACAAAAATAATTCCTCTAGGTACATTTTTGAGAGTCTGGAGCCAGACACTGGCCTTTGAAACTTTAATAAGATTTGTTCATATACAGAAGAGCTATCTAGTCTATCTTTGTGTAAAATAACCCTGCATATGATTACTGTCATAGTGGCCATGCCATGGCAATGATTTTAGATGGTGGATGTTTGTTTCATCTCATCAACCGTGTTCGTGTTCAAATGGTGGCTGCAGACTGAGACAGAAACAATACTTACACTTTCTTTGTGACTTCTCTCCACACCACACCGAAATCATGAACTAAGTCAACAGCTCTAGACAAGCAAAAACAACAATAACAAAAATGAAACCAAGAAGAAACTGCCCTCACTAAAAAAACAGCCAAGAAAGCAAAGCTCCAAACAATTCCCTGGATGTAATCCATGAATTCTCTGGATATGTTGATGTGCAAAATCCATCTGAAATGCCACTTACCCTTTATTTTCCATTTGGCTCTTTTCTGGGGAACATATAATCTCATCTATAGGCTTCTTTTTGTTACTTCTCTTCTCCAAATGCAAGAATAATAGTATTTTATTGTTTAAATGTCTTCTATTTTTATGTTGTTCTTGGGTAGTTGAATGAATTTCTCATCATTCTTTCAAGTTAGATGTCATAATGCTGAATGCGCTGGTGCTGAGCTGTTTCACTTCTCCAGGAAGCTTATCTGTTGTGCCTACCAAAACAATCAAGGCCTACCAACTGCACCTTAGTGAAATTCGTAGGAAATGTTGCAAAGAAAACAAAAGTAGACTGGCTGTTTAGTTATCAAAAATTAAAGAACAGGGGCGCCTGGGTGGCTCAGTCGGTTGGGTGTCCGACTTTCACTTGGGTCATGATCTCGCGGTTCGTGGGTTCAAGCCCCGTGTCGGGCTCTGTGCTGACTGCCAACTCAGAGCCTGGAGCCTGCTTCAGATTCTGTGTCTCCCTCTCTCTCTGACCCTCCCCTGCTCACGCTGTCTCTCTCTCTCTCTCTCTCCTAGAAATAAAAAAAAAAAAAAACATTAAAAAAAATTAAAGAACAGATTCAAAATAAAATCTGATTAATCCTTCTAGGAGTATGCGAATGTACTCACTGGGAAAAGCTCACAATGACTGTCTCTGCAGCAAAAGCATCATTACCTCATGCCCATCTCTGTCTATTCTAGAAAATGAAAACTGAAATGGGCAAATGATAATCCTTTTCTACATAAGAATCTGCCTCAGAAATTTGCCACTAAATGCCCAGTCTTAAAAAATTATTGGAGAGTAATGAAATAGATCGAAAGAGTTTCCTCAGAATTTTAGTACTGCCTGGATCCACTTCACTTATTTTAGCTTTATTACTCTAGGACATCTTACATAAGAATAATTTATCTTCTTTTTTATTTCCTCATCAGTACCTGGGTTTGTTATTGAGGTTCTATGCTTTCTTTTTAAACTGGGCATAACTATTCCACAGAAGGGGTTGGCTGAGAACCCACAGAATTTTTGCTTAACTCATTTTTATTGAACAAAATCCAGAATTTTAGTCAAGTGTTCGCCATTAATCACATGTGAGTGGGATCATTAAAATTTCCTTTACCTTCCAGAACCGTGGGTCATTATAGAATCATAAGGAGTGAGCTCACTTAATAATCTTTACAATTACATGAAAGCAATCATTTTCATAAGTCTTAGAAGAAGGTTTTAACTATTACTTGAAGAGCATATTGGAATACTAGAATGTATTACGTTGTGTTATTATAGATGTGACTTGTGAATTGAAAAAAAAAGTGTTCTCCTACTCAAGGCTTTTAGGCGCTATCCTTTCCAGCTTGCATAGTTATGTTTAACACAGTTTGTGATTATGTTTAATACACAGCAAGGAGACCTTATTGCTGAAATATAAATTCTAGTGTCATTTCTTAATTATTTACAGTCGTAACTTCATAGATAATTGAGGAGAAATGCAATACTTTCCATTGCAGTTAAGAACAACAATTGGTGACAATTTAAGGTGAGTCAGTTAAGGAGAAAAACGAAAATGAATCCCTCCCTAAATTATGATCGCCTTTCTCTTTCCTTTTCTTGTAACCACTTCTCATCTTTGACTTTGAAACCCAACAGTTTAAACTTGGTTCTTATTTCAGTGGGCTAATCCCCTTTCATAAATCACGCTCAAGAGCTGAAATAATTTGCACATCATTTAAAGAGTATTTGCTTTGAAATATTCACCTCAAGCCCTTTTGTATATCCTTTCTCTCTAAAGATTTGTAGTATTTGTTTTGTTCTCTGAGGTATAAAAGACCTGGATAAACTTTATTCCTGTTGTTTCAAGATTAGTTAACGAAAATGCATATTAATTCAGCAGGGATGGGAACAAACCTCAGTAAAGATGATCATACATATGCCTCTCGGGAATAGCAAAGTACAAAGTGTCAGTCTTCAAATCTCCTTGGACTTGCTCAGAAGAGCATTGAGGGATTTAAATTTCCTGAATATGTCTACAAATGTATTTTCTTTGTTGTGGAGAACAGGAGCTATCCTGATTATTTTTCCCCAGAAAATTGATTTAATTTGTATTTGAACAAAAATTAAGCTGTCTACAAAGTGGCTCTTCAAGAAAATGTAGGGAAAAGCTGCCACAGAAAAGGTAAATTTAACATTAAAAAAATGATATACCCAATATTCTAGTAGATTTTTAACTTACTTAGTTTCAGACTTCCAATCCCCAAATAAAATTTAACAAAAGTCATTTTTTTCCCTAAAAACAAATAGAATTGAAAGGACCCCATAAAATTAGAAGTAAACATTTTGAGGTAAAGTTCAATTACACTGTTGACATGTATCAACTCCAATTTAACAGTTTGTTGGTTAAACTCAGAAAAAAATGCTGATTTCTCTGAATGGTATATCGGATTTGTATATTAAGATGTGCTCAGTTCTTTTCTTCAACTGAAAATGACCATACACTTTGGCACTTAAGTGCTTATCCGGAAATGACTAAGTAGATTCGGGGGTAATAAATCACTCATATGGATCCAGCCACCCACAGTCTTGTTCCACTTCTCTTCCTTACAAGTGTAGTAATAGACATTTCCACAATCCTCAGGGTGCCAAACTTTGCACCATTAGGAAAATCTGCAAGTGGCTTGATTTATCTTTCTCACTCAGTTAACTAAGACCCAACTAAGTAAAAATCAGCAGGAATAAACTTGACTTGTTAAACTTTTTTAATAGGGAGATGCAACAATTAGAACTTTCCTCCTTTGCCACTTCAATTTACTTCAGATGTGAAGCCCCTTGTGAAAAATACTCAGATGAGATCTCAAATTCTAGGTGCATGGTTGGATGATGCTGACTCTGACTTTTCATTATACACAGAGGAGTGTCTGCTGTTTGCAATTAATCCAGACACAATCCTCCTGGTACTTTGGAAGGAATGTGGAAGGAATAGCCATTTTATAAGTTGTAAACTCCTAAATTACCCTAAATTAGAGGCACTATTAATCGGACACTTACATATAGACAGGATCTGCTTATTGTGTAGGCTCATCTTCCCCTGATGGAGAAATCAATTAAATATTTAGGATGTGGAATACCTTCCAGGTTGGATAATGCATTTCATTTAGATTATGGCCCTCCAATCCAAAGCATTAAAGGGGATCTTAACGGATGGAAGCACATTACTGTCTCTTGGATGGGGCGCATTAACACTTTAAAAATGAATGTGCTTCCTAGGATTTCCTATTTGTTCCACCAGCTGCCTGTCGATGCGCCAGATAAACAGTTTAAGGATAAGTATGTAAAAGATGCATGTGCAACATTCTGTGTGCTGAGGTGCACTCTTGGAGGAAAAATCCCCAACTGTGGCCCCTCACGATGTCTTTTCCCAATGCCCTAGCGATCTTGGATGATAGGGCCCATTTGATCATGGGACAGAGGGAGAGAAAGCCAAAAAGGACATGCACTTACTCTTCTCACAGAGGTTCTGTAGATTTCTAATTTTGTATCATTCCTTCCTATAACTTAATTAATAACTAGTGATCATTATAAGAAAATATTGGGACGATATGGTAAAATTTGAAATAAACATAGGCTTTCCCATTTTACAAATATTTGGCATGAAGATAATAATTTGATTCTCATTCCAGGGCTATTACTTGGGGGCCAAATTTATGAATATTGTAAGAATGAAGCTCTTGTGTCTCCCATGCCACAGAAGCATGGCATAGAAAGAGCTGGTGTTTTGTTGGAGTGCTTACCCGGCCACAGTCTGTGTTCTAGGCAGTGTGCATGTTTTCCTGATCCTGTCAATAACCCTATGAGGTACAGAGGTATTATTATTGCCCTCATTATCTACTCGGTATATGAGGCACTGAAAGGTTAATCATTGTGCTCAAGTCTTCCCAGCTGACAACTGGCAGAATTGGAGTTGAAAACCAAGCATTTTGACACCACAACCTGGAGTCATAACCATTGTTCTGTGAGACCCCGGGTTCTAGAGTGAGGCTGAAGTTTTTGTCTACTTGCTAGCTCAAAAAACTTTGAACCTGTCACTTAACCTCACTTATATTCTGTTTTATAATCTTGAAAATCTCAATAATAATAGAACTACCTCAGTGGATTGTTTGGAAGCATAAGTCAGATTATGTATATGATGTTTACAGCAGTGCTTGGCACAATGTGAGCACTCAATAAGGGTTAATAATAACATTAGTATGAATATTTTATTTCCTACCTTAGTATTTTGGATAGTCTTCCTAATTTGGTTAAGAAAAGGATACTTTAGAGATAAACAATTGAAATCTTTAAAGATGAACATATTTTTTAAAATTCCTTTGGATTTATGGGGAACAAATAGTACATTGAATGACATATAGAAAACAGTAATCTTCCTGAACTGAGTCAGATGTTTGTCCCCTTTTGTTTCCATTTATAAAAGTCTTGATTCACAATTGACATAAATCTATCATATTACGGTTACTTAGTGAAAACAAATTTATCCAATCATAAAAGGGATAATGAAGATAGGGGTCCATTTCCTTGCTTCTAGAGACAGCCTTCTCATGCCAAATCTGATACAACACATGCTTTAGTGTGTTTGCCTTGCTTCAGAAGACAGCAGAAAACTCAGCTAACTGGTATAATTACATAACTTGGATGGTCATGTTGAGAGGGTTCAGCCTTGGCACTAGAATATGGAATTATAAAGTTCAATGAAGTTGCAGGAATGTAACTGAAAAGAAATTAGTTATTAGCATTTTGACATGGAATAAACTAAAAAGGAACAAATTGATCCTTTTAAAGTTGGG